ACGACACTACATCTTCCCTTACCACTTCTACTGCCATCACCACTGTCGCACCTGTCACTGAATCGAAGGCATTATGTCCAAAGTGTGAGGAGATGGATACCTTGGATCTGCTTAATAGTCTCAACAGATCGCTGTGTCTTCACCATCGCCCTCTCTATGTATTCAATACTTACGATGTGACAAATCAAACTGCAATGCCAGGATTGCTGTACTCCTTTGATTATGGCAACCGTCTAGCCTCATGGAATACCACAATACATGTGTTGGAGAGCTGTGAATGCAAGGGCGTTTCTAAAGGTGCTTTTGGCCTCCTCGGTTCGTACATCCAGCCAGGTGCAGTGAATGTCGATCTCGCAGAGCTTGAGGTAGTGACGCTTAAGGGTATCGTCAAAGTAGCCCCACTGTTCAAAGAGATGCTGGAGATGAAGATGAAGGAAATGAGAGAGAATGAGCAGGAGTTATGGTGTGCCAGTAGAAAGCCCTTCTTTGTTCTTCTCCAGAAGCTTACGAGTCAGCAGATATGAAGTGCCTCTGTGGATCAAACACCACTACTATTACTTTCGGTCCTTAATTATCCTTAAATTATATTTTGTTTTGTTCATTGTATTTCTAACACATATTTGTAGACTACCTTCTTTTATTATTTTTTCCTGGCTTATTTTTTATTTATTTTTCGCTGAATTCCCCATATGCAGTCACCGCTATCCAAATAGGCATGGTACTCATGGGGTGGACCGTTTAGTCAGGGAATGGGCGTTGGTAAATTCGTGCCTTAACATCATGTCACTTTATGTAATGGCAGATCCCTAGCTAATGATGCAGAAAATGTGCCAGCCATTTATGGATGATAAGTACTAAATAGCTCTGACATAATAAATTGTTTTTTTCTTTGTTGAACTTGAAGAATATACTAATCAGTACCTAAAAACTTTTGCAAATATCAAACTACTTTCCTACTGTGGAATATGCATTTTTGTAGACGACAAATTCGAAAGATGCAACTTAAGGCTTCACAGAATTGTTACGAATTCATTCATGAGGCAATAGATGCAGAACACAATTTTATGCAAATCTATCCGGAGAAACTAACGTTTTTAATATCTTAGACGTGGGTATTTGCCACACCACAATTGTACCACATGACCTTATGATGACGACAAAAGTAGGTGAAGTGTTAATTGTTTAATCTGTTTGTGTCGACTCTGAAACTTGGAGAACTTGCAGAATAAAATTTATGTGCGTCGGGAGCCCTAGACTTTCGTCATCTTGATAACCCAATCTACTTAATTGTTCTCTCTACCATTTTCTACCCTTTCATTAGCAACTCAGTTGAATTAACCCATTTGATGTGATTTGCAGTTGCTTCCCGTCTTATTGAACCATTCAACTGGGTTTCAACGACGTGATCCCAGCTACTTCCCTAAATACCCGAGCTGCGTAAGAAATGTGGTGTCTTACAATCCTCACCGACTGGTAAAGGGAGTCATGACTGAAGTTGATGAGCAAGTGGATCCCATACAAATGGCATGTCTTGCTGCTAGCAGGTGAAGTTACCCTTTAGAGGATATCAATTTGTGGTTATTCGAATCCTTCAAATGGACTGCTAGAGGAGTTTTTCCTGATTAGACAGATAACTGGCTGAACGACTGAATATATTGTTATCAAAATGGTTGCAAAATTACAGAATTTGTCATGCCAAGAAAAATGCCATCTGTGACCTCCAAATGGTCCCTTCACGATCCACCATCACTCCAATTAAGGACTCATGATTTAATAATCAGAGGAGTATGCCTGCTTTGTGAGATTGCGTGTTGTCGACTACTGCGGCAAGTGTTCACTTAGTGAATGCCAAACTGTGGCCACAGCTGTGACATCCTTTTGATGCCTGCCCAACTGGGACATGCGCGGGGTAAACTTCTACTTCTGCAGAAGTAGGTGAGACTTGCCAGTCGGTGAGAGGATGATCTCATTTGTAATTTATTAAAAAGACGGAAGTTCTCGTAATTTTGTGCTTAATTGTCACTTATGGAAAAACTTATGCATTGGAAGGGGAGGGGGAGATGTAGGGGACAATAGAAGCGAATGTGCGTTTTTAGCATCTTCCACTTTGAATTCAACAAGAAGCATGTCAAATGGAATAAGTGGTGCGAAAACCAATGAAAAATTAATTGAAGGTGATCAGAGCTGGGACATATCGTGTATTTTAAGGACAGGATGTTGCCTATAAGTATAAATCGCAACATATTTGCCCCCCGGAAATGTGGCATATTTCAGTGACTATCATATGCAAATGCTTGCAGTAACTTTCATGAATCATTTGAGTTTACTATGAAGCCAAAAACAACATCTACTTCTCTCCTGATTTTTAAGCCCTCAAAACAAAATAGCTGGATTCTTATCATAATATCAGCCTCTATTGGTTCGTCAGCTGATAGGTACAGATTCATCAACTTTGAAATGGCATGCACTTGAATTGCCGTGAGAGTGTAGGTGCCTTTAAAAAGCAATAGCAGATCATCTCTAGATAAATTTTTTCCAACCACCAGATGAATGTAAATGTATGTGTTCTTCAATTTGGTGCAAACTATCATATAAAACACACTGAAATTTGTAAAAAAGGTCTTGAGAGTGCCTAAATAAATGGAAAATACATTCAGATGCTGGAGTGTGCTAGGTCAAAGGTTTTATTACTACAAAGGGTGATTAGGATATTACGATGATCTTTAACATCCGCCTTGAGTGACCTTTGTTTACTAAAACACTTAATCACACAATTTTGACACGGGTGTTTAGGCAATGACTGCGGCGCAGTGTAAACAAAGCCAGTGACCAATGCTTGAGGTCGAGATCGTCTAGCTTGGCAGTGGATGCTTACATTCTCATTGTCCATTCCATTGTTCGTCCTGCGCCAACTGCCATACGTACACAATAATGTTAGTGCCAATGGTATCGTTCAAGATGCCGCTGGTTCCCATATAAGTGCGCGTTACTGTGTAGTAATTGCTAATGCAAATTTCCCTTAAATAAAACTTCAATCTTGTCTACTGACATTCTAGAGCGCACCCATCACAGCCGCATATTTGTGCGCTAGATGTGCCAAGCATGAACGGACCGTCGATGTAGATAGCAAATACACTGAAATTTACAACTCACCCAGATCTTTGAATAACATCTGGGAGTCCCTCATATGCCCAAAATCGTGACAGAATATAGTGTCTCACGTTAAATGCTATCACCTCCGTATGATGCCTCACAAAAGCTACTACCCACCACTCACTTCCTCCACACCGCTAATGAGTTCGTGCACTAGGGTGAGAATGTCTAGTAGTTGGACCCCCTTCCCCTAATGTATGTATGTATCTAAACTCCAAAACCCTTATGTGTATCATAAGACTCTAGGAATGATTTGCTGTCGCACAATGTATGTTAGAACTGGGATTTAATGCCACGCATTAGTTCCGACTGCCGTGCGATTTTTTACACTTCTGTGGGTAGTTCTTGCAACAAATTAGGGTCCAAACAAGTACTACTAAACTATTGATGATGATTTATCTAATTTGTTGCCCTTTTTACAAAATGCTTACTGTCGTATCTTAACTCAGAACATCGTAATGTGCCTCGTTTTAACGAAGTTGGAGGTGTTGGAAGCTGGCCTAGCTGGTTAATCAGTAGGAATGGGTTTGCATACACATTCTCAAAAGGTAAGTCTTGACGCAACTACTGACAGCGCAAAAGTGAGCAGTGAGTAGATTGACATCTCAAAATGGGAGGTTTACATGCCGGGAGCAATTGCCATATCCCTTGCATCATGTTCTCACAATGCTGCTTCTTCAAGCGAGATCGTTTACCGAATGCTGGGACTATTATCAGGCAGAAGTGGAAATAGTTGAGATTCCATTTTGTGTAACTATGGAAAGTATACCCGGCTGTAACATTGTGATGGAGTGGGACCGAATTATTGGTAGTGGTGGTGAGTTTGCGTGACAAAATACTTGAGGATGTATTCAACGATTTATGACATTCATTGTGTTCGCTGTTCGTTTTCCTGGTAATGATATTTAGTGTGTTGATACACAAAAACACAAGCAATAACCAAACTAAGTGTTGGTAAATCAGTTTTATGCTACTTCATTGCTTGAGACTACAATATTGCGTAAAAAGCAGTCACATTACAGTTAGCATTCATTCGTACATGAACCACAGTTAAACCGTCCACCATTTCGGCATTTCGCTTTCTTCTACAGCAGTGAATACCTATGGTCTCTCAGACAATCTCCGATAAATGTGAATGTGCAGAAATACAGAAGGTTAAGCATAAACACACGAGAACTCATGCAGGACAAGCGCAAATTGACATGGTGAGTGGACAAATTGGCAGAATATGGTTGGTTGAATTGAAGCAGACGACAGTATGATTAATGCTGCCAAATCGGAAATGTCACAAGGTCACCGACAGTTGATGCAATCAGACTCATTTTTTGCATATTGTAACCCTATGGGAAAGGGCAGAAAGGGGTTTCTTCTTAACAAGCCATTAGTTATTTTTAGCAGCTGACAACCTTCAGACGCCAAACTCTGTGAAAATGGAGTGATCGAACAGAAAAGAGCGTTAATGAAACTGTGGGGATGGTGTAAAGATTGGGGGTGATTGGGAAGGAGACTGTCAAATCACTCTATCAATGAGCTCGCAAGTCACCATATGCTCCCACGCTGTGATTCTCCCACATGGTCCAGTGATCAGAATCAAGGGGGGGTATTGGTAGCCAAAGCCACTGAGACCCATCGACACAGTTTAATATGAGAGAGAGTGGCATACACGGCACTTCGATTTCACTGAGGTGAGAAATCCACTATGAGAGTGCGATTCGGCAGCTAAGTATGATAGTAGAGAAAAGGAGTATTAAGTTATTGTCTAAATTTACTGCTTTTATGGCATAGGAGTTAAAAATAGTGGAAGACATCCGCAAATCTACGCTACCTCCCATGAAGTGCTCTAGAAGAAAGCAACAGCCATGATCTTACTGTATACTTTAGTGAAATGTAGGGATATGCTTCACCAGCCCAGTCTTCAACACTAAACCGACCAAGTGAGAGTAGCATTACTAAAATGATAAGCAGACTGGTATATCACTTGTCAGCACTACTTAACGAAAGGGAACACATAGCAGGATTTGGTTTAAAGTCTCTACTTGACTCCACGGATAACGTGGATGGAAGAAATGGTTTTCATTTATTAACTTGTGGCCAGTCAAATGAAATTGACAAATATATGACAATGGTTTGTATAACTATGTGCTAAATAGATTTCAATGGCTCTGATGAAAACATGGCGGAAATAATGTCAAGACTGGACTACTTTGCTTCTCACAAATGTTTCAAAGTACCTAAGCTTACAGCCAACCGGAAGGCGGCCTCCTAGTTTTACTTACTTCGCATAAGCATAGGCACTTGAATCGGATATATCGCGCAAATTACCGCACTTCACATGCAACCTCATTTAAAATATTTTGTGATGCAAATTGCG